CCTAATGACATTAGCTCAGCTTTTCTCTAGTGCAACTGGCAGCAGCATTACAAAGGCAGGGAGATTAAAACATATGAAATAAACGTTCCCTGTGTGACTGACAGCATAATGACATTCCAGCGGGCGACTGAATCGGTGCACGGCTAACAAAGGATCAGAGAGAAACAGTGAGGCTCACAATACCATCAACAAACACGTATTTTTCTTTCAGACATTTCTTACTCGATTGCATTAACCCCATAGACTTGAAGTTTTCCCCAGGCTGCATACAGTCATGTGCCGGGTAGAGGGGATGGTAGCTCAGCTCTATTAAAACACAGGCTCACCTGCTATTGAACTCTGTCAACTCAATAGACTTGTTCAGGACCAGAGCAGAGATTTCTGTGTTTTAAAGTCAATGAGACCATTGTGGGCTGTTTCCCCTCCTTCCTTCCCTTATGAACTAAGTACTCGCAAAACTGAAATGGAGAAAGCTGTTGTAAGCACTGAACTTCCCTTGATATTCAAACCTCATGCAAATGCCCATGTAGGTGTCACACCTCCCAAATAAAATCACCAAGATTGTTTTTAAATAAACCTCACTGTAGGTGAGCTGCCTTTTAAACAGATGCAACGCAGTCTAAGAGGAGAGGTGATTATTCCACTTGATTTAACATACAGCATTTTAGATCAGTTTCACTTATTGTCTGGAACCACAGTAGGTGTTGAGACTTTCACTTATTAGCACAGAGCTTTGCTACAAGTTCTTTGCCGTAGGAGTCTGCTATCCTACAGGTATTATAATTTAATTCATCGGTTAAAAAAAAGAGTCTGATCTTGCTGTACGTCTGTTATCGGCCTCTCCAAACACTTACGTCCCGATTAAAAGGATCTCATGATAGCATGCACCAGCTACTAAAGCTCATCTTTTATTCCAAATAGATATTCTCCCTTTATCTCCTCTGTGATCAACATTGCTTCTCTCTTCTCAGCCTGTGAGGGGCACTGTGGTGACAATATACAGTCCAATTTGAATGATCTCTTAAGAATCCAAACACATCAACTTCATGAAACATGTAAAATCCACTGATCCCCTCTATCTTCCCTTAAGTCTGCTATTTAGCTGCTGCTGTTAATAAACATCTATGAATATTAGTATCTAAAGGCTTTTCCATTTCAGTGTAAAGATCCGGGCCCTTTTTGTTACTTTTTAGATAAAGCATTCAGTGCCCATGGAGGTTCCCTAAGGCCACAGAAAGTGAACTAAAATGTTTATATCCTGTAATGATGCTGTTTAGTCTGCCTGCTCGAAAATAAAAATAAATCTGAAACCTAAGATGGTGATTCCAAAGACAAGCAATCAAGAGATACTAGCAAACATATGGTGATATTCCCAGTATTCTGAACTACTCAAAGATCATGACAAATGCATGTAAAGATTTTTTTAAATAATGTTTTAAAACAGAGCCATTTAAGTGATTACCGACTTTCTGATCCTGCAGCTCTGAGATTCCTGGAACTACATGTTAGTAAGGATTACTCACATGAATAACGGTTGCAGGATTGGGTCCCTAGTCATGAATAGCCCCATACAAAGAACTCACTGTACTTCAATCTCCACAGAGCTAATAGCAAAAGAGTGAAACTCAACACATCAAACAGCAAACAAACTGAAGCAATTAATGTAAACGCTCCAGTATCAAATGGTAAAACACGGTGATTACATGAAGAGCCTGAAGGGGAACTACTCACATGAGCAAGAGCTACCAGATCAAGCCCAAACTCTTTGAAAATTAAACCCCCGACACTAAGAAATCTATTGTGCAATAATGTATGTCACTGGCATATGGTCAGATTCTGTATTCCTTGCTCAGGCAAGATTTCCAGGATTAGGCCAACCCACAGTGCCATCTCCTCTGCAATGAATCAAGGAACCCATTGTCAAAGAAACAGATTTCCTGAATTACCAACCATAAATAATGGCAGACCCTCTCCCAAAGCCATGTGTTTATTTTTCAAAGTCAAGAGTTGATTAAAGTTCTTGAGGTTTTCAGATTTGTTTTTAATATTTCCTTTCTGATAGAGGGTCAGTGCATGGAAAATTGGATAAGGGCACACTAAAAATATCATTCTGTAGACAGCTTCAGCCCTCACAAGAGGAAATCTTTATTCTCAGAAAAAACACACCCTGCAATCTGAGAAAATAAGGTGCATTCTATCCAGTGCAATATATGGAAGTACAGTGGTCTCTTCCCTTTGCAAAAAATACATTGCACAAACGCTTGGGCTAGACTCTGACTTTCCGTATGATGATACTGCTGATTTCAGTATACTCATCACAATTTTAACCAAATACCACCTTCCACTAAAATGTTAGTAAGAGTTAAATGACAATTAGATACAAGTTTTAGAGTGACTTCAAGTCCCTTCTTTTTTGCTTGTTTGCCGGATGCAAAACCCCAATATTTCTATTGTGCAAAAGAAGGACAACCTATTCTTAGATCCAACAAGTCATTTTCATATGAACTTGCCAGAGGACACAACTTTATTAACTTTAAATTACTATGACACATCAGAAAAAAAATCTAACTAATAACACGAGGAGTATTGCCCTATGGCTTTAATTTCTGTTTTCACATTGTCAAGGGCTCCCACTTACTTTCTTTTCCAGCAAATGAAAAATTAATTACTTTAACAGAAAGCTAAAACAAAGACACTTTAACAACATTTGCTTTCTTTCCTGACTTTGTTCATGGCTATTTATGGATAATTACTACCACTGACATTTTTATTATTATCAGACTGCCCAAAATTATGAGTGAAACTTATAACTTTCCTCATACTTAAATGGAGGAAATATATTTTAAAGACTAGATGCTTAGGGGTTGTTTATTTGCTTGATTTTGTAATACCTGATAACATATGTATTTCTACACTGTCAGTTGCTCACTTTAAAATACAGTCTTATCTCATTTTCACAGGGATTACTACCTGATTTTACAAATACAACAGCAAATTTAAGGGAACTCTGAGGCTTTCCTCTGCATGACATTTTTCTTTCTTAAAAAGAAAGATGAGCCAGGCAGTTTACAAAAAACAAAAATTGAACAAAGACAGGGCTCTGGAGCATATTGCTAAGTTTTCATCTACTTTCATCCACAAGCAGTTTATTTTTCCTACAATGAGACTTCTTTAAAAAACAAAAAGTTCAGTTTTCTTGCAACAAGTCTTTTTTTAAAGATCATCTAAAGCAATGTTCGTATCAGGATGGTGTCTAAAATTATCAGCCAAATTTCCACTGAAAATAGTGATTTAGGCCCTGATCCTGCAAACTTGTTCAATTTTACACACTTGAGTGATCCCATGGTGTGTGTGATGTTAAGTACATGGAAGTTGCAAACACACACAAAAAAATCAAGTGAAATGCTGAGTGAAGTCTTTTAGATCATCACAGCAGAAAAACACAACTGATAGTACCTTGAGCCAGACTTTCAAAATATAGTTTGCTATCAACTTATGCCTGGTCTACACTACAGAGCTAGGTTGACATCAACCTAACCCTGTAAGCATCTACACTAAAATGTAGCTCTCTCCGACGGAACTCACCCACTATACCGACTTAATAACTCCATCTTTGCGAGCGGCGTAGCATTTACGTTAATGTAATTAGGTCAACGCAGTGTCAGTGTAGACACTGACTGCACTGCTTACATTGACTGCTGCTGCCTTTCAGAAACTGTCCCACAATGCCCCACTCTGGCAGTTAAATCGGTGCAAGAGCTCCTGGTGAAGACGCACACTGAGGGCACAGGGAGAGTAGTGTGTACATGTAAAACTGATTCAATTACTGCAGTGGCTGTACCTGGTCGTAACTTAGGTCAGCTTAGTTTTGTAGTGTAGACTGCCCTTAGCCTTCAAAATATACCTTAAAAACACCCAACAATTTCCTAAACATCCTGACATGGTACTTCCCTTCCTTAATGAGGGGGAGGAGGGGGTATGAATACCTATTGCTTTTTTGTTTGTTTTAATCACTAAAGAAGCCTTACGAAGAAAATGAGCCAGTCACTAAATAAATCACATGCTATAGGTGGTTGAAAACTTTGGAGCCCAGTTCAAGAGCTGATTGTCCCTGAGAGGAACCCTCCTTATAAAATGACTTTTGCTATGGCCTCCCCACACTGGGCTCCCCCTGCATTGATGGGGTTAGGATGAGTCCTGTTCCCCTCTTCTCTCCCCCACCCTGTTTCCCCTTCACTGATGCAACTGTGGACAAATGAGACATTGCTGATCATGTTGCATGACCTGATCCTGGCAGGCATTTGGGAAGGAATGTGGGGAAAGCTATGGAGGTTGGAGAGGCAGAAGAAACTTTGAGGATCAGGGCTGGGAAGGGCTTTGGGAATCAGGGCTGAAGGGAGCACTATGGGCTGAGGAGTGTCTTTGTGGATCAGGGTTGGACTGGGGATTATAGGGTGTCTTCAGGGATCAGGGCTGGTGGGCTGGAGGGGTGAGGGAGCCATAGGGATCAGGGGCAAGGGGTGTCTGGGGATCAGGGCTATGGGGGGTATGAGGATCGGGGCTATGGGGATCAAGGGCTGGGAGGGGCTATGGGGTTCGGGGCTGGGAGGGCCTTTGAGGGTCAGGGCTGAGGTGTGTTCGGGGCTAGGAGCTATGGGGATCAGGGCTATGGGGTGTCTTTGGGGATCAGGGCTAGGGGCTATGAGGATCAGGGCTATGGGGGGTCTTTGGGGATCAGGGCTGGGGGCTCTCAGGGGTCTTTGGGGATCAGGGCTGAGGTGTGTTTGGGGCTAGGGGCTATGGGGATCGGGGCTGGGAGCTATGGAGATCAGGGCTATGGGGTATCTTTGGGCAGCAGGGCTGGGGGCTCTGAGGGGTCTTTGGGGATCAGGGCTATGGGGTTTCTTTGGGGATCAGGGCTGGAGCAGGGAACCTCTCTAACTCCCCCGCCCAGCCCCGGACGAAGCGCGAGGGCAGCGGCTCCCGCCCCAGTCCCGTACCTGTACCAGGCGAAGCCCCGCTCGTAGCCGCGGTCGAAGAAGTGGGGCTCGGCCCCCGCTGCCCGCACGTCGGGGTGCACCCGCAGGAACTCCAGCAGCGCCCGCGTGCCGCCCTTCTTGACGCCCACGATGATGGCCTGCGGCAGCCGCTTGCTGCCCTCGCCCAGCAGCAGGGCCAGCGTGCCCGGGGGCTCCCCGCCGCCGCCCGACCCCGCGCCTCGGCCGGGCGCGTCGGGCCGCCGCCGCTGCTGCTTCGGCCGCTTCCTCCGGGCCGCCGGCGGCCAGCTGGCCAGCGAGGGGGACCCCGGCTCCAGCGGCCCGCCGCCGCCCGCCGCCTGCTCCGGGGCGGCCGCCAGCAGGGGCCCGGGCAGGCTGGGGCAGCGCTCGGCCAGGCAGTAGAAGACGTAGAGGGACATGAGCAGGGACATGAGCATCAGCAGGAACTTCTTGAAGACGCTGCGGGGCAGAGGCTCGGGGCAGGCGGCGGGGGCAGGCGGCCCGTTCCCTGCCATGCTAGCCCGAGGCATCTGCCCGGCCCCCGGCCATGCTAGGCAGGTGCCATGCCCCCCGCCCCCGGAGTCAGCAGCCAGCGGGGGGGCGCAGGGCTGCCCCGGGCCGCATTGTCACTGAGCTGGAGCTGGGAGGGGGCTCGCGTTGTGTCCCCCGTTTCCCGCCCACCCCCGGTCTCTTAAGGGCGACGCTTCAGGGGGGCATCATCGGCAGGCGGCTCCTGCCAACCTCCCCGCAGGAGGGGAAGCCCCGACGCGAACAGATCCCGTCTCCCAGGGGAGGGCGAGTCGCTAACGGAGTCCCTGAGCGCAGGTCCCGGTCCCACCTATCGCCGGCCCCCGCCCGGCCAGTCCCCTGGCAGTGGGGTGGGGATGTCACAGTCTGCACGACTGAAGCAGCTGCTCGCCACAGCCCCACCACCCGCTGCGCACCCCCGGCAGGGGAGAATCGCTGCGAGCCAACGGGACAGAGCCGCCCCCGGCTCCCGGCTTCGCCTCCCTCCTCCGGCTGCAGCCTCTGGCTCCGCTCTGTTGCCACCTGGGCTGACGAGACCTGCCGGGGGGGGAGCGCTCCGGGGCCTGCTGTCACCGCCCCTCTAGCCTCCAGCTGCTGCCACACGTGGAGCCGGAGCAAAACTTCTCCGAAGGCAGCGAGCGGGGCGCGCCCCTGAGCGAGGGGAACGCGGCGCGCAGAGCCGGGGCTGGACTCTGGAGCGGGCCGCGTGTCGAGCAGCCCTTGCTGGTGACCCAATGGAGAGAGAGGGGCGTGGGCGGCTCTGAATACCCCACCCCCCTTCCCCGAGTCGCAGGAGTTACTGGTACATTGCACGCTGTGTTTATATCAGCCTCCAGCTAGAGGTGGATTTGGTAGCCAAAGGTTCATCTAATTCTCTATTGTCATAAGCTCAGGCAGATTTAGGGGGAAACCAGCTTGTAATTCACCCTAAGCGTTTGATAGCTGCTTCTTCTTCACCAAACACGTTTTAAACAGAGCAAGCACAGAAGTCGCTTCTTTTTATGGCGGAAGCCCTATTAGGATTATTACTAGGGATGAAAGGAAGTAGGGTTCTAGAGAAATGTACTAGGGGGTCTGTCGAAATTATTCTAAAACCCTATGGAATTTCATAATGAATGATCTACTTTCCGTTGAATGTTTAAGGCATCCTATAGGATTTATTAATAGAGAATTGTATCCCTGCTCCAGCATTCTATAGGATCCTTTAAACATTCTATAGAAAGGATCTCATCCTATAGGATTTGGGGTGATTTCTATAGAACCCTATTTTAAATCATCTTCTAGAATTTCATAGAGAATTATAAAATTCTATATATTAAAAATTCTCTATTAAATTAGATAGGACTTTTCCATAAGGGCTTTGTATCAGGACAAACATGGAGTTTAGACCTATCCAGTACTGTATCTGGCTGTGTAACCATCCATCCACCTAGGTTTTCATACTATATCCATCACCATGGTATTGGAGCACAAATTTCTGATTTAGGCCCTGATCCTGCAAACACTCAAGCACATGAGTAATTTTACACATAGGAGTAATTCCACTGAAGTCAATGAGACTACTCAGATATATACAATTAGGTACCTGCATAAATCTTTGTAGAATTGTGGTCATAGACTGGTAGGAGGCAATTTATAAAGTACATGAAGTCCTGAAACCAGATCCAGCCCCAATGATTTCAGTGGAACACACTTATGCTTTCAGGATCAAGTTGCATGATTGGGCCCTCAGTTTGTCATAAATATACACATATTGCTTTCAGAATTTATTATTCTCCATTGAGAGTAAATAAAATATTGAAATAGCTATCATCTTCATGCCTGGAATGCCTGATACTAAGGGCTTCATTATTTCATTGCCTGTGGGAATGTCCTTTTAATATGAAATGTTTGTCATAGATTATAGAGTTTTTAAACACACGTGCACATGAAACACTTGACTTGGATTTTTTCTTCTGTTTATTTGGTGTGAATCTAGCTAAGCAATTAGACTTCAGCTACTTGGAAGGAGAACTTGTGTATTTTCAAATTATTCAGTGAAGATTAAAAAATGGCAATGAATACCGTTTAGCCATCTGCAGCGTGGGTTGAGTTATACAAATGTGTTTGTAAATAGAAAACAGACTATAATTCATAAACATTTACAATGAATTATTCTACTAGGTCTGCTTAGAAATTTGATAACACTTTTTTTCTCTTTCAGCAAATAAACATCCTCCGGAGGGAGGGGGAGAGGGATAAAATAGGACAGGAACGGGATCCTGGCTGGGAGGGGATTGGAATTTGACCTCCCCAAGAAACATTTGAATTGGCACCACTTCAGGTGTGCATGCACAAATCCCGTTCACTTCACTTAGGGTAAAAGGTATGGATCTGGAGGCAGAGTTTGGCACTAATTGGGGTTAAAGATGAAGTCTTGCTGATATTTCTATTCTAGATTTATGCATTTTGGTGTAAACACTGTTGCAGAATACTGTACTTCCAATGTTAAAAATATTAGGTGAGTACAGTTTTATTTATCTATATTTGTGAGCGTACGCACCTCACCTGTTTCAGCTTTAATACAAACCATTTTTCAGGGTAATATTCATGATTTTTTAGGAAGTTTGCACTTCAGAACAAGGGGTGTTTCACATTGTAGTTGCACTGAACATAGCAATATTGATACACATTTTGCCATCATGACGGATTCATTTATATTTTTGTTCTGTCCTTTTCTCCTTTCTTTTATAGTTTTAGCTAATCTATCTAGCTATCTTAAGGTTTTGTATTGCCAGCCATCATCAGCTGAGTACCTTCCACAATTAGCAAATCCCTAATTCCCTAGTAGACTTCATGGAATCTCTGGCTATTCTCTTCGGAAGCCCTGTCTGGGGTAGGTTTCTTTAAAGGAAGCACAAAAGGGTGTCCAATGCTGTGAATCTTATTTCAGTTATTGGGGGAAAGCTTTCTCATGTTTGGCAGGATTTCTGAAGATTGGGACAGGCCCAACAAAGAAAGTAATAGAACGCCACTAGCCACAGCCCCCAACTAAAACCTCTCCAGAGTATCATCAAGGATCTACAACCTATTCTGAAGGATGATCCCTCACTCTCACAGACCTTGGGAGACAGGCTAGTCCTCGCTTACAGACAGCCCCCCAACCTGAAGCAAATACTCACCAGCAACTATACACTACACAACAAAAACACTCACCCAGGAACCTATCCCTGCAATAAACCCCATTGCCAACTTTGTCCGCATATCTATTCAAGGGACACCATCATAGGACCTAACCACATCAGCCACACCATCAGGGGCTCATTCACCTGCACATCTACCAATGTGATCTATGCCATCATGTGCCAGCAATGCCCCTCTGCCATGTACATTGGCCAAACTGGACAGTCTCTACGCAAAAGAATAAATGAACACAAATCAGACATCAAGAATTGTAACATTCAAAAACTAGTAGGAGAGCACTTCAATCTCCCTGGACATTCAATAACAGACTTAAAAGTGGCCATTCTTCAACAAAAAACCTTCAAAAACAGACTTCAATGAGAAACTGCAGAACTGGAACTAATTTGCAAACTGGACACCATCAAATTAGGCCTGAATAAAGATTGGGAGTGGCTGGGTCACTACGAAAAGTATTTTTCCCTCTGTTGATACTCACACCTTCTTGTTAACTATTGGGAATGGCCACATCCACCCTCGTTAGCACTACAAAAAGTAATTTTCCCTTTGTTGATGTTCACCCCTTCTTGTCAACTGTTGGAAATAGACTACGTCCACCCTGTTTGAATTGGCCTCATTAGCACTGACCCACCACTTGGTAAGATAACTCCCATCTTTTCATGTGCTGTAATATATATACCTGCCTACTGTATTTTTCACTCCATGCATCTGATGAAGTGGGTTTTAGCCCACGAAAGCTTATGCCCAAATAAATTTGTTTTAGTCTTTAAGGTGCCACAAGGACTCCTTGTTGTTTCTGAAAGATTGTAAAGACTCTGGATTCATCTAATCTTCCCTGGAAGTTCATTCTATAGCCAGATCCCCTTCGTTGATTGCTAGTGTATTCTTTAAAAAGAAAAGGAGTACTTGTGGCACCTTAGAGACTAACCAATTTATTCGATGAAGTGAGCTGTAGCTCACGAAAGCTTATGCTCAAATAAATTGGTTAGTCTCTAAGGTGCCACAAGTACTCCTTTTCTTTTTGCAAATACAGACTAACATGGCTGTTACTCTGAAACCAGTGTATTCTTTGTTTCACTTTCTTCTTCTCATCATTTAAATTGCTCATCAATTTTTAAAGATGTGATAAATTAATGAAAAAGAAATATAAAATCCTGCAGGTGCTTGTGGGATGGTTCCTGAACTGATCACAGTATTTCCTCAAAGAGATTCCTTGTTTTCAGCTGACTCTCAGAAAACAATTTTTTCTTAAATCTTACAGGCAACCTTTTTTTGGAGGGAAAAGGAGAGAAATGGAGGAAGTTTATCATAAAAATTATTTTAGCCTTTAGAATTTACAAGGCTTGATCTACAGCCCATTAATATCAATGGGACTTAAGCACATGCTTAAAGTTAACTCTGCGTTAAGAGTCTTGCTGAATCAGGGCTATGTTGTGTTTCATCAGTAAATCTCAGAGCTCTTTTTAAGGGTGGTTGAGCACCATTTTCCCCCTTTTTACCAATGGGAATTGAGGCACTGGGAGGTTAAATCAGTCCTCCAAGCTAGTCCGGCAAGTCAGAGGCACAGCTGGGAATAGATCCCAATACTAGTTAGTTTCAGGCCTTTGTCCTTAGCACTGGATCATGCTGCCTTGCCTGAAGAAGCAGATATTAGCGCTAACGTTACTTACAGACTTTCATCAGACAGCCCTGTTTGCACTCGCTCACTAGAGGGATTGAACCATCCCATACGTGGCCCCAGCCCAACTATACGATACAACTGTAAATGGTTTTTTAGGTTATATTTCTGGCAGTGAGCACAGTTCTCCCATTGAAATTAATGGCAAGACACTCGCTGACTTCAATGAGAGGAGGATCTGGCCTATTATCTGAAGTGGCTAGTGATTTGGGGCGGGGGGGAGTTTAATTCTGGAGGGATGTCACAAATTATGAGGCACCTTAAAGGGGCCTGATTTGCAAGAAGTGCTGAGCAGAGGCCTTCTGAGAATTGGGTCCCAGTGGAGGGGCGTTGGGTGCCCAGAAGCAGGAGTCCCTTTTGCACATGTCAGCCTGTGCCATTCTTTAGGTTAGGAAGGTTTTTTCCATACTATTTAGGAGCCTCTGGGACTGCGAGTTACAGCACATGACACCTTGGATGCATCATTAATGGGTGACCAGTTATAGCCTCTATTGGAATTTAATTGATTGATTTTTTTTTTTTTTTTACTAGCGACTCCCATAATGTAGATAGGACCAGGAATTAAACTGGGAATTTGGGGATGAGGGGACGTGGGTGCCTGGGGCTCGCACATCCTGACATCTCATTACAAGGTTGGAAGCCAAAGGGAGCCACTTGGTGTCAGGAAGCTGCTCCAGAAGAAAACATCCCATTGTACCAGGGGAGGTGGGGTAATGAACAGAGGAGAGAGAGCCAGATTGATAACCAAGGGGCAGGCTGACCCCGAACGGGTTTGTGTGACAAAAGCCCCTTCATTT